TCCTCCCTAGATCTCAGAGGGCTTGAATGTAGATGAACACTGAGCAATTTCTTTGTGAACATTATTTGATGACTAATATGTACTGACATATTTATCATTCATCTTTTTGACAGACATATCTTGGTTTCCCAAATGGACTGCAAATTCTTCAATTTTATATCTTTCTTTGTTACAACAACACACTTTGCATACATAGCTGACATTTGATGCATAGCTATCAGTTGACCTCAGTAAAGAATGGGGCTGAGAAGGCCATATAAGATATGAATAACTTGCTGTTTGGGAGAAGAAGAAACAGCTATAACCGTTATCCAATATCAATCACTATGTCAGTCATTTTTGACTGAACATTTGAGAACCCAGAGCCATTTCAGTTCTCAAAAGCTACCACTGTCCATGCTTTAGCCATAAATGAACTGTAAATCTTTGGATTCATTCAGAGTAGAAGTGTCCAAGTAAACTAACATTTTTCCAGAGTTCATTTCACTGTACCCATTTAAAATGATAAATTTCATTTTAAAAGAGTAAGCTTTTTAAACAGGAGTCAACTCAAAGACTTAAGAAAGGAGACGGACAGAATTTAAAATTTCTGTACAAATTTTTCCTTAGGGATAAAGGAAAGTCTCTGACAGATGTTGTAGAGCTAGTAACTTCCATCTTTTTGATGGTCTGCTATTCCTTTGGAAAACCTAACTAAAATAATGCACTTTCTTCACAAATATTCCAAACACAAAACTATTCATGAAGCTATGGATCCCAGAATAAGAAACCTCATTCTCAGGCTGTTTATTCCAACAATATATCCCTGAAATAAGGCCTGGATGTGCCTATTGGGTGGTGATGGCGGCAGGTGTTTGCCAGAAATGTATGTATTTTGGGGGAAAAAAATTCCCATCTGATTCTGATGGGTAGGCTGGTGAGTGATTCTTCCAAAAGGTCCTCAGGAGGGCACGGCAGCCCAGACCTCTCTCTTCAAAGTAATACTCCACATTCCTAGGCAGCCAGCAAAGGAATTCAGCTCATCTGACTTCCAGGTCAGCAGGCCTTCCACAACACCACTGTATACCACTAGGTGCCAGTGGAAACATTTTATTTGTATTATTCTGATGCTCTTGCAGCATTAATTAAAAGAAAATTGTGATAAAAGTTGGTACTAGGACAAATAATATATTAATTAGGAAAAAGCTAAAAATAGCTTTTTGTAATGAAGACTTTATATCCATGCTTTTGCCTTGGCTCAATCTCTGTCTACAAAGTTGCTTTCACGGTTATGGGAATGACTACAAGTTCATAAACTTTTTAACAATTCCAAGATAACTATGAATGCAAACGTGGAAGGTAAATTAAAAAACAGTTCTTTTGTCTGAAAGCGAGATGAATTTTCCTATAAACCCTGTGCCAGGCAGTTAAGTCTGTTTGTATTTCTCAGAGATAGTTACATATTTTTAGAGCATTTGTAATGGCAAGTTGTTTGTCTAGACTTTTCTCTCACTTCTTTCCTCTCTCCAAAGGGAAAAAGACAAAAAAGAAATATTAACTCATGCCGCAAATCCAAACAATCCAATTGATTTAAAGGAAGAACATATTCTCCTAAGGTTTCTATGAGAACGGAAACTATTTCCTCGTAACTTTTTAATTCTGTAAAAGAAAATACTGAATGCATTAAATTCTAGGTATTTTAAGGTACTTTACAGAATATTTTTTGATCATTACCAAATTCTACCTGTAAGAAAACTGTGACATTTTCTCTTAAAATCAGGAAAAATATTTGTGACATTTTATGTGAAAAGTGTACAGGCAGAATATGTAAGATTCAAATTTGTGTGAAGGAAGTTTTCACACCTTCATGGTCCTCTGAACTTCTCACTTATTATTAACATATAACTCCAGTTACAATTTCAAAAAAATGAACGGGAGAGGGAGGCATTATGATGCTGCTAAAATGATGCTCTTTTGCAAACAGAAAGTGACACTACCGCTTCTCAGTCTTTTGTCTAAGATCAAGTGCAGAAAGTGATACCATCAAATCTTCAACTCTAGGAAAACTGAAGGGAATTCTCTAGACTGAACACACATTTTCTTAATTCAACTTAGACTTTGTTCTGAGCTTTGACACAGATTTTGAATGACTAGAAATATAGTCTACCTACTTTGCTTTCTCTTTTTTTAATCTATATATTTCTCTATCTTAACAAAATTATTGGAAAGGTACAATACTAGGGGAGAAAAAGGTGACGGCCAGTCAGAATTATTAATAAAAAAATTTGAATTAAAAACAAAAGATCATTTGTACAATTTTGGTTTGGCAATTTGTTCTCTATCTACATTTCCATTTTTGGAAGTATTAAAAACAATGATAGCAATGATGGCTAGGATTCATTGAGTGTTTATACTCTGTGCTGCAGACTATTCCAAATTCTTTACTCATATTAAAGCCACTAAATCTTCATTTGAACCCTGTGAGGGAACAAAGAGAACTTGTCCTGTGGCAGAGTAAGAATCTTGAATCCAGATATCTGACTTAAGCATCCAAATTTAACAACTTCTTTATAATAAAGGGGTGGGTTCACATAAATGACCATTTATATGCTCCTTCTGGTGAAACCCAAATACCTTATTATATTATTTGGGGAAGAAATTTTGGGGAAGAAATTTTGAAGTGGAATTCCTTCCTATACTCTAGACTTTTGGTACAGAAATATATTCTTGACTGTGTGTGAGCAATATGAGATACCGTAAGGTGTACACAGCAATCCACAGTATATTCTGACTCACTTTCACTCCTCACAGTTTATAGTTTTAATTCTCAGCCCATATAATAACATCAGATAACAAAAATTTAGTGTCTAGGGTTGAGTTCTTAACCTAATTCCTTCTGCATTAGAACTCCGGAGCCAAATGTTTAAAATACAGATGTGATGTGAATTACAGAAATACTTAAAAGGTGTTCTTGCATGCTCTAAGAGGAGCTGTCAGTTTGACCACATAAGTGCTATTAAAAATATTTATACTTTTGTTCATGAATGCTGTAGGTCTCATGCATTTAGCTGATTAATGAGGTGTCCATTTGCACGGTCAGGTCTAAACAGTGATGTGTGGAATGTCAGCATAACTGGAAACAGACCAAAAACCACTCTAACCCAGCCAGACAAAACTTTCTCCCTGGTCTCCATGCTCAGGGTGTCAGGCAGATTACTCCAATGGTACAGCTGAATATTTTTGGCAAGGATGTGAAATAAAAACTCCAATTTGGAGAGGAGAGAGGAAAGCTGGCAAAAAAAAAAAAAAAAAGCTCTTATAATTATCCACTGTGCCATCTGTGTCTAAAGACATTTAAGAGCTTTATTTTGACTTCAGCATCTGACATTGTGACTTTTAAAAACTAATGGAAAAAAGACATATTATTAGTTACTTAAGACTCTGCTTTGGTCCACGTACCATTTTAACCTCTTTGGTCTAAAATGACTCCCCTGTGCATTTGTTAGACTTCCTTTATTCTAAAAGCAAAACCCCACACATCAGCTGTCACTGTCATGTTTGTTTTTTCTTCCACAATAAACTATCTGTCTCACAGCACAGTTATTACAAACTAGTATTAATTTAGGTTTGGAAGTGGAAACCTAGGAAGGCTTAAAAATAATCTATTTCAGTCAATTTTAATCACTGCTCTTTTAGGCTATAAAGAGAAACAGGAAGACTCTGAAATCTTATAGTTAAGATTATTGTATTTTCACATAAAGTTAAATTCAAATCATTTGGGCCATTTACATTCATTTACATGGGGCATATGGTCAGAGTGGAGAGTATTTTTTAAGTAGCTTCCCAAATCCCAACCTCCAGTTTAACAGGTTAACAAAAGAAACCACACTGTACAAGCTAATAGCACCACTACTAAGGACAACAAAGGATACTCTGTTCACTGCGTGTCAGTGGGGAACACACTGCAACCTCATAGGATGGGAAACCTTCTAATCCTCATTTTACAAATGAAGTGTGAAGAAGGGAGGTTCCCCAGGTCACACTGGTTCATGAAAGTAGGAGAGCCAGGGATGGGACCCAATCCTTGGATGACATTATGAATGGTCAGAGACATAGGCAACTGATAACAAGGTAAATCTCAGAAGGCCAACAGGGAAATAGCATATGTCATAAAATCTTCCAGGGTAATTGATCAGTCATTGGTATCAATATAAAGAAAAAAAGAGATGAGTAGAAATCCCAATGAATAAGGAGAAAGGAAAATATAAGCACGTATCAAAATCAACAGTAGGGAAGGGCTCCTCTTGGAATTCTTGCTCAGGAGCCCTCATCAGAGATGCCTTCCTGGACCACCACATCTCAAACAGTCCACACCCTGGACCACCACCACCCACTATTTTTGTCATTGCATGTATCGTACCTGACACCTCTTAGGTGCACTGTTTATTGTCTGTGCCCCCAACTGGAATGAAAACACCATGAGGACTGGGACTATGCTTGGTTTTGTTCACTAAATTATCCTCAGAGCCTGTACCTAAGGCTTGAAACAGAGAGAGAATTCAATGCTGATTAAGTCACTATTTGCTGAATTAATACATGAATGAGTGAAGTCTCTCTTCTCTCATAAAAGTTTTAATTCAAAACATCGTAGGCTAGTATTTTAAAATCTTAATATTTTGGTAATTGTGAGTACAAACAGTGTAGGAATTTTTTCAGGTTATCCTGTATAAAAATGTGCAAGTAAGTAACTGGAAGGCAAAGAATAAAGCATTGTGTTAAGCCAACAGCCTCTAGGCCAGCCAACACTAGTTTGCTTTTCCTTTTTCTAACTTCAGTCCTTAGCCAGAGGCTAAAAAAGCTACCAAAGGGAATCAGCAGAGCTGCTTATAGTTTTCATTCTTAGTTTTCACTGTACCCATTACCAGTTTTTAGTTTTCTCCCCAGTTCCAAGTGGCTCCAGCAGCTTAGAATCTGTCCCTTCTATCCTTCCCCACCCCCAGGTCTCTCAGGGGACCACCTACCTGTGAATTTACCCAGATTCATTTTCTGGAAGTCAGGGTTCCGCAGCTCTTCGGTGCTTGCAGACTTCATGACTGAGTTGATGGATGTTAGGGTGCTGATGAGCTGTGAGTTGAGGGAGCCAATCTGTGAGTGAGGTTCCCCAAACGCTTCTGCCAGTTCGCTATAGTTCTCAGCCAGCAGTGTTTGCTGTTCTGCTAGCAGCTTCTGGACACGTTCAATGTAGTGATCTAAGCCTGCCATCATTCCAGAAGTGGGCTGGGGCTGGGGGCTCTCCAACAGCTCTCCTACTGGGTCATCCCCAACACCTATGCTCCTCCTGCTGGCTGTCAGCCCCACAGTCAACTGGGGAGGCCCACAAGCTATGGTCCTCATCTTGAGACCAACCAGATAGTTGTCATTAATATTGATCTGCCCCACACTTGACTCTTTGGTCTTCACAGCTGATGGCCTGTCAAATTCAGAATTGCCAGAGAGCACAGTTCCAACCCCAATGGACCGAGTTTTGACAGAGGAGTTGACATCCTTGACTCGGCCTTCTCCTATAGCCACTGTTCGCATCTCCACAGTCTGGGTGCTGGTCTGCTTGTCTGAAGTGTTTAGGGAAGTATTGGTGCAGGATTCTATTAGGGTAGCCATCTCAGTGTTGGTGAATTGGTTCACCTGTTCCAAAACTGTACTGGTGTGCTGGCTCTTGGTATGAGGTACGGCCATGACAGCAGCTTCTACCTGGCCGGCAGCATCTGTGTTCACACTCCGGGAGATGTACTCTTTTGGAGAGCAGACCGTCACATCCACAGAACAATCTCCACAACCGATTGATCGCACTTCTTTGAGATTCAGGTTGGTCTTGAGGAGTGTGAGGTCATTCACAGACTCCTCTGTGTTGCTGCCTGTTTCACAGACACTTATTTCCACACCCACTTGCTTGTCACATGTCTCCATAGACCTCCCAGTACATCGGTCATGCATTTCTACCCTTTCCTTAACAATCCACCAATTCATGGGCAGCTCGGGCCCCACGACTTTATGATGACAATTGGGCCGGCAGGAGATGCCGATGCTATTTGTCTGCACGGAGGTTCCGACACAGGTGTCAGCCACGTCCACATGATTGCCGGCCATCTGGTCTCTCGTGTGCACCACCGCCTCCACCATCTTGCTGAAAACAAGCGGCTGGGCCATGATGGCTTTGTCAACTTTTTTCCTGGATCCAGCAGCCTGCAGCTCTTGTTTGAGTTTAGTCATCTCCCGGTCATGGGTGGTTTCTTTAAGCTGTACTTCCAGGCGATAGATTTTTTCTTTTAAGGCTTCTATGGTTTGCTGTTGCAGTTCAATTTCTTTGTCAGCTTCAGTAGTCACTCCAAGCATGGCCTCTGTCACGCTGACCCCAGAATTCCTCATCTCAATGACTGTCCCCACAGCAGCGTCCTTACAGGACTTGGAAGCCCTGTGGTATACAACAATGTCATCCATAGTCTCATCACCACCCACAGCCACAGAACAACACTCTGGAGGCCGGCAGTCCCCATTCTCCCTGAGTTCTGGGGCAGCCTCATAGCTGCTGTCTTGGATCTTCTGCTCCAGGGCCTGCATGTCTGCTGTGAGCTGCCGGAACTCCTTTATCCTCTGTGTGCTCTCCTCTACGCTCTCCATCTCTTCTTCCTCATAGTCAATGTATAACTCCCCACCACTTCTCCGGACCCTGGAGAGCTGTTCCAACTGGGATGCATTCCCAGCACTGTAGGACCTTTTCCTCACACCATAGACATCGTTCTGGGATGCAGCCCTTTGATTTTTCAGCTGCGAGGCCAACTGCCTTTTCTCCTCTTGCAAGACAGAGATCTTTACCTGGAGCACAGGGATGGTTCGCACCTGCTCCTCAAGCTCCTTCAGTCGTTTCAGGGCGATGGCCATCTGCTCTCGGATGTGCTGCAGATGCATGGGGCTCACGTTTGTCACTGGAGTGGAGATTCCTGAGCTCAGGGGACTGTGGCGGATGGAGCTGCCCATGGAGGAAGTGGTGGCAGCAGCTGGGGCACAGCCACTGTAATCCCCATTGCCTTGGTATCCATTCTGGAGCTGGTGCATGGCAGGAATTTGGTTTCCAGAACTCATAAAGGAGGAGAGAGAGCTTGTGGAGCCCATGCCTCCAAAACTAGCCAGTCTGGGCCTTCGGAACTCACACGGTGTCATCTGCATGGTGACTCTCTCCTGTTCCAGTCTTCTCCGGGTTTCCATCAGTGTCTTGGTGACATGAGGGTTATGCTTTGGGAGTTGGGGTGAGGGTGGTGGTAGCTGGCGACTTTCTGGAACAGTAAGAAAAGTAGGTGAGGTCTCCAGAGGGGCAGGTGGCCTTTGGATTGGAGTTGATGTAACTTGGCTTCTGGCTAGGAGGAAGTTGGGGCACTGCCTGTCATCGCTGTTGGAGGATGAGAGGGATTCAGTGGAAGTCCACACACCTTGCTGGCCAGCTGTGGCCCTGGTTTCTGGGCATGGCGCAGATGGCTTCCTCTTCTTCTGGATGTTCAACTTCTTAATGGTGTTCCCTTTCTGTATGTCATCCACGTATTTGAGGAAATCTAAGTCTAATTGATAACCATAAGGTGTCTCCACAAAATAAGGATCTTTCTGTTCCTTGTCGTGGCCCCCATTTAGAACATCATCTGTTTTTCCTAGAGAGAGACAGAGAATGATGAGAGCATTATAATGTCAAGTAACACACATAAAGATGAAAACTAACATTTGTGTAAGTTGCATTGTGGAAGCTGGTATGATTTAAGAGTTGAAAGACATATGTTCTAATCTGGATCTATACCGTAACAGCTGGGTGAGTGAGTTTATATATCTCTTAAAACTTCAGTATCCCCCGAGTAAAAATGGAAACACAGCATTTAACTCATACATTGTTAAAGGAATGTACTGAGATAATGAATTTAAAGGGTCAAATACATGGTAAGTCTTTACTAAAATCTTTATATTTTTTTAAAGGAATGCATTAAAAATACTTGAAAGCATTTTCAAAGAAAGTATACTCTGAGGCACATAAAGCTAAAAGACTTAGAATAACGGGACAAGTCAGTGCAGGTCCAGTTAACCTGGGACTTAAGTTCTCTCACCTTTATTGCTCTTCAAAGACTGAGAGGCCTTTCTAAGTGGTGACCTAGCCCACCCCAGGACCTAACTACCTCTACAAGATTATAATTTTTCTTTATACTTTCCTTGCTGGGGAGGCTGGGACAGGAGAGAAGTTAAATGATTAACTCCAGCAGCACGGGTGCAAGGACACTGTCAGAGGCACAAAGCAACTCTATTTTGTGCCTTCTCATTTAAAACCAAAGCCAACTTCTGTCCTGACCAAAGGAGTTTTCTCCACTTTGACTTCTTTTGGACAAAACATTCACGTACCCCAAGAATACCTTGTTTTGTATTTTTGTGTATACAAACAGATGCAGAGGAGGAGGAGAGAAAGGTCAAACCTATATTACAAGCACTGGATCATGTGGCATTCAGTAAATGTTACTTCTGGCTAAACCAAACATTTAGAAAAGGAAACATAAGAACCTTTCAAGGCACAGACCTTGCTGCTGACATGACCTATGTATTTCAAACTGAAAAGCAAGGCCATTTTTGTTTGTTTAAATTGCAGGATTAAGTAATGTGTTTTTCTAGAGTCAGAATAACGAACTTGCCTTTTGTAGGGCCATGGAAAGGACCTGCAAGCATGAGTAAAAATGCAAACCATCTGTACTTGCTGCCCTTCTCCTGGGTCTAAAAACCCAAACCTGATGGCTGTCAAGGTCCAAGTACTTCCAGCAATTTGCGCTGCCTGTCTGCCTGCTCTCACCAGTACTAACATGCTGAAGATTTACACCTAGTGGTGTCTAAACTCTGAATAAAACTTTTGCCTCCATTTTGCCCCCTTTCTTCTAAAATGTTGGCAAGAAAAGTACAAAAAGACAGTCAAAAAGTATAGTAGACTGTCAAGCAGAGCAATGAAAAAGCTATGTAGTCTTTGTGTCTAATTTTAAAACAATATTAAATCGTTCTAACTGTTAGAATTAAGGCACCAGGCTTCTAAATTCCAAAACGTGGAAAATAATTCTCTTTGAAAGAGGTTCTCCGAGCCCATCATTTGCTAGCTCAAGAAAGGGAGAGCTGATGACCAGATCCTTTGCCAGGAAACGTGTACTCCTGTTAATAACAGAACTTGTCTTTCCTTTTTTTCCCTCTCTTTCTATACTTTTTAAGTCCACAAGGACAACGCGCTCACCCAAAATATGCAGCCCGACCTGTTCCCAGCGCTGTCTGAAATTCCACAAGCAAAGAGAAACTGCAACTGCAAGCTCGGGTGTCAGACAAGCAGACAGACCTCACCCACACGGGCTGGGTTGGTGAGCCGGCGATTCTAAATCCGGTGGTTTTAGAGCTCGCGGGGTCGCTGGAGCAGAGCAGCGCGGCCCAGGCCTGCCTTCCCGGGCCGCCCGACCCCCGCGCCCCGCCGGGCCTCCCGCCGCACACCTACCCGGCACCCGCGCTGCTCCCCGCCGCCAGGCCCGCTCCCCGCGCACCCGGGCCCAGTCTCGGACGTCCTGGCTCCTCACCCCATAAGGAAAGCAGGCTCAACATTCGGGTAAACTTAGCCCAGCCACGCGCAAATGCCATAGGCCGAGCTTTCACCAATGAAGTCTCCCTGCGCTTCAGCGACACCACCCCCAGCACACTCAGCTGTCCAGCACGCCCAGCTTTCTTAATGAAAACAGGAAACCGGGATCTTTTGGAAATGTGTGTTCTTCATTCCAGTGCTGCCAGGAGCAGAAATAAAGCCTGCAATTTAAACATCTCCACAGAGAGACTCTGTCTTGGCTGTACCGGTCACTTCATGAAAGAGTTTGTGTTCTTGTGTGGAAACTAAGCAGCCTCAAGCCTCAGTCACCTGAGGAAGTTGGAGGCACAATTGACCCCACTGTTCAAAAGGATGAGGCAGGACGCACTAGTTGCAGAGCACTGCAGAGCTCTTCTTGGCACTGGGCTCAGACTAGTCCTTTAGCGTTCATCTCAACTGAGCCCTTGCTAACAATGAAAGTGTCTTCAATTTTTTTTTTAAAGACACCCTTTTTGCAGTTACAAAAGCAGTAAGTGCTTGTTAAAAAAAAAAATAAAAAGGAATATCACAGACAGACCATTTAAAGATTAAAAAAACTAATTCATATCTCATCATCTGGTGGCAATTGTTAACATTTTGGTATACTACTCGTTTTTCTGTATCCCCTAGCACATCTTATCCCAATAAAGAAAGGTCAGTTTTTGTTTTATTTTTCTTTTCAAAATTTTTTTTATCGCACTGATTAAATGTAAGGATTTAGAATATAATGAAACATCACATTTTCCAAAAAATTTATCTGGTTCCTCATCTTCTTCCCTTTATTTTTTAAGATTTATTTATTCATACATACAAGAACTTGGGTACAGGTCAGACATGCGGGAGGGTGAGAGGATTCACCAGAGACAGAGCAGGGAACAGAACAGCAGACTGACTGGAATACACTGCTAAGGGGAGCAGCAGGCAAGACAGGAGAGTTCTGCAGCGCCATATGGGTATCTCGCTGGCGGGATCGAACCCCCGCTACAGAGGCTGCGGACAGGTTCACAGCACTGTGCTCAACTACCTGAGCCACCAGCTGAGGTCCCTCATCTTATTTCTTTTTTTTTTTTTTTCAAAGATTTATTTTATTTTATTTATTTATTTATACAAGCACTGGGTACAGTCAGAAGTGCGGGAGGGTGAGAGAATTCACCAGAGCCAGAGCGGGGAGTAGAACAGGCAGAAGGACCGAAGCACACTGCTGAGGGGAGCAGCGGGCGGCAGGAGAGGTTGCGCGCCATGTGGGATCCTCCTCCAGTGGCTGGGGAGCAGCCGGGCATCGAACCGGCACTGCAGAGGCTGTGGGCAGCTTCGCAACCCAGCGCTCAACCGCTGCGCCACCAGGGAGGCCCCCCTCATCTTATTTCTGAAGTCCACGAGAGGGATGGGTCACACTGAGTAATCCGTGAATGAACTTTGGACTTCTAAATCTGGGAATCAGGACAGGTTAGAATTTAACCATGTAAGGTTTGATTATTTCCTAATACTGTTTGAGTCATACTACCTAAGAATTTGTTATCTAAATGTCATAATATCACGCTTATCATATGTCAAAAAAGGAAAATATGTTCTCAAGGTATCACTTTTATAAACAATTGTCACAGTCCAAATTATTCTATAGTTAAACAAAGACATACAGTGTTATTATTTGTTGTCTCTTGCTGATAATGTACCTTTAAATACATTAACACAAACATGACGCTGACCAATTTCATTTTTCCAAATATATGTCATATCTCTCTGAGCTAAAATATATCTTGAGTGCAACAAACTTAATTTTATTTTTTATGCGTATAAGAACTTTTATTTTTACAGGTCAGATGTACACCAGAGAGGATTCACCAGAGACAGAGTGCAGAACAGAACAGGCAGACTGACTGAAATATACTGCTGAGGGGAGTAGCAGGTGAGACAGGAGAGGTGTGCCAAACTTAATTTTAAATATTTCCTTTATTGCTCTCCTTGCCCAAACCACACATAGCCATTATAGCAAGATGATGGGAAGAAAGATGACATTTAAAAATGTTCATTGAAGGAATAATTAAATGTACAGTATAATGAATTTTTAAAAAATTCTTAATACTTTGTAGGCAGAAGTTGCTTGTTCTATATTAGTTTTAATTTCTTAAATGATATTCAGCGGTTATCTTTAGCTTGTGGAATCAAGGGAGTTTCTATGCTTTTCTTTGTATTTCATGAATTTTTATAACACAGTTGTCTTTTTAAAAATATGATTATATGAAGTCACTGTTTAGAAAGAGTACTGTATTAAAATAAATGCTGAGAGAGTTCATTTGAAAGGAGGCTGAAAGGGGCAGTTATTGCAAAGATAGCTAGATGGTCCTCAGAATGTGTTATCTCATTCCTGTGCACTAACAGAACTCCCTATGTGTAGCTGGACAAATATAAAGACTGTATTTCCCCAGACTCCTTTACTGTTAGTATGGCCATAAACAGAAATGTCACGTAACAACCCCCAAGAACCTCCCTAAAACACAGAGCAATAGTTCTCTGACCTCCTTCTTTGTTCTTTCATCCATCCTGCTGCCTGGAATGCAGCCTGAAACTTTAGCTGCTCTTGGACATGAATTCACACACAGAGATGGAAGAGCTAACTGCTAGAAAGAACCTGGGTCTCTAAGAGCTTTATGGATCAGAGCCACTATTCTGTTCCTGGTACAGTGAAAGACAAAATACTATTTTGTTTAGCTCTTGTTTGTTTTGGGGCTTTGCTACTTAAAACCAACTGAATTCTAATGGACACAGCAGCAGTTTCTCCCAATGTCTTCCCTCTTTCCTCTACCCCCCTCCCCCCGCCAAATTAAGACCAGATCTTAAAAAGAGAATGTTACATGATGCATTAAAGTTTTTTTTTTTTTTTACAAGCTATAGATCAATTCAGGAATTAAAGAAATACAAAAACAAGTTTGAAAAAAATCTCTAAGTGGGCTATCAAAAGACTTAAATTTTCTAAAAATCCTATCTGAACAAAGAGTTTTACCTGCTTATATACAACTGAAATTATTGGCT